TATATAATATATTATAAGATTATATAATAATAATTTTATTATATTATATTGCATTTTATATATTATATTAATTGTATTAATATATAAAATATTAATGTTATATATATAATGTAAGGGTAATTTTTTCAATATGAAAATATTCGTGTTCCATTCTATAGTATTCTTAAAATTACAACCAAATAAATGAATCAATTTTCTTTTCCATTCTATTACCATTACCATTCTCATTCCCATTACTATTACCATTCCCCACGCGCCCTTATTTCTTTTCTTCTAGTGAACTTGAAATGGGAGAATCCAAATATTACACCATATAGTTGGGGTGAAAATCAGCTGGGTAGGGTCAGTTTTTTGGTAAGATTTAGGTCGGCCCGTGAGAATCGGGCTGAGATAACTATGGGCCGCAGCAGCTCACTTGCTATCAGAACCCATACACCATTAGGTTACCTCGGGTAACCTCGAGTTGGCCGGGTTACTTTGGGTAAACCAACTCTAAATTTGTAGTCATAGGTGGTTGGTATCTTACTATCATACCATCAAAAGCCATGGTTTGGGCGTGAACGATTGGGCGGGCCTGGGCTGAACGATTGTTGCTAAAAATTTCAGTTTTCTACTAACCATAAAACTGAGATGAAGAAGAAGAAAAGGAATGGCAGAGCGGAAGAATTGAGAAGAAGAAGAAGCGGTGATGGAGGAAACACTCAGAGAGAAGAAGAGGAACGACAGAGGAACTAATTTGATTTGCTTCATTTAGTATCGGCCGGGTCGGCCTACCGCGGGTTGAAAAGAGACCGGCCCGCACCCCTACCCACAAATTTCGGGCTGGCCTTATTTGAAATCGGGAAAATGAAAAAAAAAAAAAAAAAAAAAACCGAATATTCAGGGTAGGCTGGGTTATGTCGGGTAGGGTCGGATTTCTTACACCCCTACCTTATAGTGAAGTTAAGTGTGGAGTTATTATAAATTAATGCTTGCAAGTACAAAAAAAAAAAAAAAAAAACCTTCGCAAATCTAACAAGGAAATAAATTTTTGCTTCTATATTATTTTGAGATTTTGGCTAAATTTAAATGACGAAAGAAACAAAGTTGTTTTGTTATTTCTCAACAAATCATCATTTTTTTCCCTTGCCGAAACAATAAATTATTAACTAAAATAAATCCTCAGTTCTCTTATAAATTAGTAAATTTACATAAATTATGATTTATTCTAGATAATGGACACAAAAGAAAATAAGGATGTATGTTTTTAAAAAAACTCAAAAGAGAATTCTTTGATACAGTAAGAATTAGGGCTTTTTCAGTTATATTTTTGAGTTATGATGACTTGAGTTTAGATTTTGAGTTGAATTTGAGTTATAACTTGAGTTGAAATTGTAACTTGAGTTTATGTTTGGTTGTGTACATTTGAGTTATAGTTTGAAATGAGAATCTTTTTGAGTTTGTGTTTGGGTAGGTCAAAACTTGAGTTTATATTTAGATAGTATTTTAATAGAAACTCAATGATGATGGAAAATTTTAATAGGGTATATGGGTGAATTTTTAATCGTCTCTTCGTTGTGAGCGCATAAAAAAGAGAATCATCTCAATCAGAATTAAAACGAAAAAGTTATAACATTTTTAATAATAGAAAAAATGTTGTTCATTAACTTGAGTTTGAGTTTAGGAACTTGAGTTGAAGGGAAAATTTGAACTCATATTTTAACCCTAAACTCAAGTTAAAATTCAAGTTCAAACTTAAATTTTACAAAAGAATATAAACTTAAATAAAGTTGTAATTTGAGTTCAAATATTTTTTAAATTTGAGTATAAACGAACAAGTCCTTAAATTTTTTACTAAATTTTGTCGGTGATACATTTTTATATTATTTTAATATGATTTTAATGTAATTTGGTGGTCATAAACATAAATTATCGACAGGGTATCTAGTGTTGTCAAACGTGTCGTGCCGGGCCGGCACGGCACGCTTGACCCCAGGCCCATCACGGGCCTGGGCCATGCCAGGCACGGCCCTGCACAGTGCAGGGCCGTGCCTGGGCCGGGCCTGAGAAGAAAAACTCAGGCCCGGTCCAGGCCCTGGCCCTAGTCCATAAGGGCCAGGGCCGGGCCGGCCCCGGCCCTTGTTTTTTTTTATAATTTAAATAAAAAAAATATCAAATGCCCCAAAAGATGTGATTTTATTGAATTGACGTAATATGAGTACACATAAATGACTGACTCGTTAAAAACCTTGCTAAGTAAAACCTGTGGGGAGATCGGGACAAAACCTTAGCGAAGGAAAAAAGAGTGCAGTAGCTAGGAATAATAAATTACAAACCTAAGTGCTTCTAGAAGATTTTGTTATTTCTAAGTTAGAAAAATATTCTTGCACCGAATCATCTGTGTATTGTTGTTTTCGTCTTCTGGCATCTTCGCACATTAGTCCCTCCAAGATATCTGGATGCATTCTGCTTCTCTTCTCGTCAAGAATTCGGTTGCTTGCGCTAAAAGCTTGCTCCGATGCTACCGTTGACACTGGAGTTGTCAGATTGTCACGAGCTATTATGGACAGTGTTGGAAAATGATCTTTCTTGCTCTTCCACCATTGTAAGATGTCTAGTTTGTCGTCATCGATTACAAAATTTGCTTCAAAATATTTGACTAGTTCCGTAGACGCTTGTGTTGAGGATGATCCTACCGTTTTCTCTTTCTTCTTCAAGAAACTCCACGACGATCCTTTAGGCCCCGAACTGGTAGTTGACGACGAAGTTCCCTGTTCTTTTTTACCTGTGCTATATTTTACTTCATACAAACTAAAAACTTTTTCTAAC